CGAAGAGCCCAGTGCGAGACACGAGCCAGAGATGGTCCCCACGGAGGGCAACCGCTGCCCCCCAGAAGGATGACCGTGAGCAGGAGAGGAGGGGAACAGAGGCACCGTCCTGCTCGTCTCCCCCAGCAGCGGCGGGATGCGGGGAGCCTGGCCCTTGAGAGATCCCCCCCCCCCGTGCGCAGGGCCGTCCCACGCCAGAAAGCCCCACGCCGCCCGCCTCCCTCTCCGAGGGCCTGCTTCCTCCGAGGGGTTGTGGCCGCGAACCCGGCAGCAGAGACGGCGGGGAGGCAAGGCCCCCCCACCCTCTGCCCTTTCTTTTATTTAACTGATAGGTTTCTAGAGCGCTTTTGAGGGTCCCAAAACCTCACAAGGGGGTCACGGCACTCCTTTATGCACACCAGAGTCGAACCACGAGAACCACCACCCCATGCCTTCAAGAGACCGGTCCCTGGGTTTCTCGGAAGGCGGCCGGAGGTGCCTCGGAAGCCGCAGCTGCCCTCAAGGGCACCCCCCCTTAAGTCCCCCCCCGAAAGGTCCCCTCTTTACAGCCACCCACTTATTCATCCACAGCAACTCCCCGCACCCACCCTGGGTGACCCAGTCCCCTGCGACCGACACCTCCTCTCCTCTCCAGCCCATTCATTTCTAGGCAGCAACATGCGCACAGACACAGACACACACAGAGAGCGGGTTCGCTCCATTCTGACATGGGAGCCTCTGCCCAGCCCCACGAGGGAACAGCTCAGGCACCCAAGCAGCAGCAACGGCACCAAAAAACCAGCTGCCTCTTGAGAGAAACCTGGAAAGAGGAAAGGCAGGGAGGTGGGGGAGGAGGGATGGCTTCCCATCCCTGCGCACGCGGGGTGTGCATGTGTGAGGCTCTTTTCCCCCCCCAAAAAAAGGGCTGCTTCCTCCAGGACAACGTTCCACTAAGCCCTCCTTGGGGCTGTCCAGAGCCTTTGCTTCCGCCTTGAACTGGAGGCCAGACTGGATGACCTCATGGAAGCCCCCTGATGCAAAGATCTAAAACTCCCCAGGGGCACCGAGGGGCTCTCTCTGTACCAAACACAAGCCCCCCCTTTTCCTGCTCCTCCTCTGTCAGCCGTTCTGCCCCACACGTATCCCCCCAAGCCCCACTGAGAGCAGCCGTCTCCTTCACAAACGCCATCGTCCCCGCCTCTCGGTTCATCCCCTCCAAACACAGGTACCTGCTCTGTCCATCACCTGGGTTGGGGGGCACGGGGCTGGGGCTGCCCCCCTGTCCTGCCCACCAAGCTCCCCACGCTCTGGTCCAAGACGCCCGGCCGGCCGGACTCAGACGGCTCTGCCGGAGACCCCAGAGTAATCCCAGGTTAGCGCCGCCCCATTCCGGGCACTCGGGACTCGCCCTCCTCTCTGTCTGGCTGACAGGAGGTTATGTGGTGTTGAGGGTGGGGTGGGGGGGCAAAGACTGCCCCCCTGTCCTGCCCACCAAGCTCCCCACGCTCTGGTCCAAGACGCCCGGCCGGCCGGACTCAGACGGCTCTGCCGGAGACCCCAGAGTAATCCCAGGTTAGCGCCGCCCCATTCCGGGCACTCGGGACTCGCCCTCCTCTCTGTCTGGCTGACAGGAGGTTATGTGGTGTTGAGGGTGGGGTGGGGGGGCAAAGACAGGCATTTCCCCCTTCCCCTGCCTGNGCGAGGAGGGGCTCCAGCCGGCCCCAAAATAGCCGCCAGCCCGTGAGGGGAGGGCCCCTGGCAATCCCTTAATGAGATCTTCAGCGCTTATGCTCCGCAGCACGCACGGGAGGGACGCGCCGAGGAGGAGCGTTATGCCAGAGCTCAGCCAGCTCCCCTGCAGGGTCTCCTTCCCCCCCCCCGGTCACCCATGGGCAGAGGTCATGGGGGGAGCCCCTCGCACGCTGGAGCACTGCCACCTCCTCCACCTTCTTCAGGTGTGCAACACAGACACAGCTCGGTGGGGTCTCCTTCCACCACCGGGGTAAGACAGGCCGTTGCTCCCATCCTGGGGCAGACCAAGAAGGCAGAGCAAAGTTCCTTTTTAAAGGGCCGGCAGGGAGAGCCTGGGGGGGGCAGAGCCAAGTGGGGTCCTTTCGGAAGGGGGCAAGGATCCTGGCGGCCGATGCCAGTCCCAGCTGGAGGGGGGGAGAACCCCCTGGGGCTGTGCAGACCGAGCCTGGCAGGATTGCTGGGGACCATCCCAGCGTCAGAGAACGGGGGCCAGATGGCGGCCTTTCCCCCCCACCCCCACCTGCAGAAACGGCCCTCCAGGACCGCCACCAGACAGCATTGGGCTCTTATGGGGGGGGGGAGGCTGCCTCTGCCAGGCCCCTCTCGGCCGGGCCGCAGAGTCCCTTTACGACACCAGGAGAGGACCTCGGATACACCAAACCTCGGATACACTAGGTCTGTCGCCGGCTACGGGAGGAGGCCTCAGAGGGGCTGAAGCGAGGGGGGTGCATTTGGGCAGGTCAGTCGGTGGCCGCCGGCCGCTCTGGCTATGGACTGACCCCTGAACACTCCAAGTTGGACAACTCCCAGACCACAACCTGGACGCGCCAGCTGGGGGATGCGCGCCACCACCGTTGCCGCCCAGAGAGAGAGAGAGAGAGAGAGAGAGAGAGAGAGAGAGACCGTCCTCTGCTTTGCTCAGGAGGGCCCCGGCGCAATCCAGCAAGGCTCCTCCGGTGCAGCTCTAAAGAGGGTCTGGATGGGGAACCATCACAGATCTGCAGCCCTGGAGGGGGGGGTCTCCCCTGCTCAGGGAACGCACCCCCCCCAGCCCCATGTCCACCTCGCAGCCCATCTGCCTGGCCGCTGTCCCTGCCAAGCGCAAAACCACCACCTCCAGTGCCGGCCACCTTGTTCCTGTTTACGCGCCCAGCCAGGGGGTGAGAGGGGGGTCCCCCCCCGTTCCCTCACACCCTCACCCTCGAGAGTGCAGGCGGGCAGGCCCGATCCAGCCCCAAGTGCCACGAGAGGGGGAAAAGTGTTGGTGGATTTGAGCCACGAGGGTTGGGGAGGAGCCAGGTTTTGTGGGTGACGTTTCTTGCCGTGGGTTGGCGGGGGGGGAAGAGATTATTCGCGGGGCAGTCGTTCTCCTCCTCCTGAAGATCACCACGCCAACGGGTGGCGCTGCCCACCCCCAGGAATGAAAACGAACCCTTCAGACGGCTCTCCGGGACCCCGACTGGGATCTGGTCTGGAGATCCAGGGAGAGTCGTGTGGCACCCCGAAAATGGACGCGTTTTCTTTGACAGAGGCAGTCGTGGGCTCCAGTCAGATCCACGGATCCACTGAAATGGGCGGCCGGCCACAGAAGTGTCGGGCAATAACACTGCGGGGCTTTCCAGAAGCCACAAGAAAGACACCTCGTGGCTTCTGCTCAAAGGCAGACGTGGCCACTTTCCAGGAAAGGTCAAGGGAAAACATTTCTCTCCTCCGTGGTGGGCGAACACACAAAGGCCGACCTGAGAATACATGC